TAATCCCAGGAATTTTGGAGGGTGAGGTAAGAGGATCACTTCAGCCCAGGAGCTCAAGAGCAGCCTGGGCAACAAAGTGAAACCTCATCTCTATGAAAAAATTAAAAATTAGCTGGGCGTGGTGGTGTGCACCTGTGGTCACAGCTACATGGGAGGCCAATGCAGGAGGATTGTTTGAGCCCAAGAGGTTGAGTCTGCAGTGAGTCATGATCATGCCACTGCACTCCAGCTGGGTGACAGTGTGAGACCCTGTCTTTAAATAAATAAATAAACAAATATATATGTCTGAGGTTTTGTGTTTGATAGACACACACACTGATAGATAACTGATACTTTTATAATGCTTTAATTTCAATAATGCTCTTATACTTTCTATACCAATATTCCATTTTCCTGTTTGCCTTTTTTTCTTTTCTTTTTTTTTTTTTTTTTTTGAGATGGAGTTTTGCTCTGGCTGGAGTGCAGTGGTGCCACCTTGGCTCACTGCAACCTCTGCCTCCAGGGCTCAAGTGATTCTCCTGCCTTAGCTTCCTGAGTAGCTGGGATTACAGGCACACGCCACCAGTACACACCACCATGCCCAGCTAATTTTTTGTATTTTTAGTAGAGATGGTGTTTCACATGTTGGCCAGGCCTCAAGTGATGTGCCCACCTCAGCCTCCCATGTTAGCTAGGCTGGTCTTAATCATGCTGGGATTATAGGCATGAGCCACCACACATGGCCTCGCATCTGCCTTTACTATCACCTGTTATTCTTCAGTGTTCTCTAGTTTCATCGAAATGGATCTAGGTTTTCTTTCTCCTTAACCTGCTTGGGATTCATTGTGCTTCCTGAGGACTCCGTCAATTCTGGAAAATTCTCAGCCATCATTATTGGACAACTGCCTTGCCCACATTCACTTTATTGTCTCCTAACATGACTGATAAGCATAGGATGGACCTTCTCACTCTTACGTTTCCTTGTCTCTCTGAGATGCTTTTTAGGTTATTTTCTTTAAATCTCTCTTCCAGTGCATAAATCTATCATTTGATATTTAACCTTTCCAATAAGCTATACATACACATCCCAATAAGTTATAACTCCTATATGGTTCACTTTTACATTTGCCCTTCCTTCCCTCCTTCCTTCCTCCCTCCCTCCCTCCCTCCCTCCCTTCCTTCCTTCCTTCCTTTTCCTTCCTTCCTTCCTTCCTTCCTTCCTTCCTTCCTTCCTTCCTTCCTTCCTTCCTTCCTTCTTTCCTTCCTTTCACAGAGTTTCCTTCTTGTTGCCCAGGCCGGAGTGCAATGTTGAGATCTAGGCTCACTGCAACCTCTACCTCCTGAGTTCAAGCAATTCCCCTGTCTCCTCATCCTCCCAAATAGCTGGTATTACAGGTGCCTGCCACCATGCTTGGCTAATTTTTTTGTATTTTTAGTAGAGATGAGGTTTCACCATGTTAGCTAGGCTGGTCTTAACTCCTCCTGACCTCAGGTGATCTGCCTGCCTCAGCCTCCCAAGATGCTGAGATTACAGGCATGAGCTACCATGCCTGGCTACCTGGTGATTTTTCAAGAGTATCTTGATACTCACTTGTGTTTTTAGCCCCTTTGTTTTTCTAAGCATGCTTGTTTTATGTTCTGGTTCTAAAATATCTAATATCTAAAGCAGGTACAGATCCACTTCTGCTGCTTGTCTTCTCTGCTCATTTCCTCAGAGGGTGTGTGGTTTCTGGTTGTGAGTTCATATTTATTTAGAACCCTATCTGTGAGAATTCTTTGAAACCTGGGTTGCCAGTAAGTTCTTCCAGAGAAGGTTTGTGTTTGTTTTGGCCAAATACTATAGGCACCACCTACCCAAGTTCATTCCAAATTAAAACGTTCAGATTGTGGGCTTTTGGACTACGCAAATTGTGTGGCCATGTGACAGCCAGACTTTTTGGCCATGAATCCTCTGGGGGAATGTTTTCCCCTTCCCCTCAGAAGCAAGACACAAAGAGACAACTTTAATTGCTGCCCACGTCTGTATGGCAGATTTTCCTCCCATAGTTTATCCTTCACCTGAGGACATATTTCTTCTTGGATCCCAATGTGATGTTGCAATTTGGCTGTTATCCTGCCTGGACCCAGGTGGATGCTGCTATAGCTGGTAGCAGTATCAGTGTTTATCTATCTCCAGAGTGTAAGGTATTTTAGGCTGACTGACTGCACCATGGACTGCATGGTAACCTCTGTGACCTGCACATACACCTCCAGATGAGTTCCTGGAACTAGAAAGTCTGAAGTAACGGGAAAACCACAAAAGGAGAAGAATGACCAACCCCTGTGGCGCCTAATTAACTTTGAGACATTCTTCTATTGTTCCGTATTCCTGCCTCAACTGATAAGGCAACTGGACTTTGTAATTGACCTTGCTCAACTGATAGGTCAACCTCGTGACTCCAGACCCTACAACCCCCTACCAGCTTGCAAAAAACCACCCTGAACTGTAACTTTCCACTGCCTACCCCAAACCTATAAAATCAATGCCCATCCCTCAATCTTCTGCTGACTCTCTTTTCAGACTCAGCCCGCCTGTACCTGGGTGAATAAACAGCCATGTTGCTCACACAAAGTCTGTTTAGGAGGTCTCTTCATTCAAAGTGCACATAACACAGACATAATTTTTAAGATATTTGTCAGTATAGCACATGCACCAATGGATCGGAACAGATGTAGACTGTACCTCTGCATAATTTCTGAACATCAATTGTTTAACTTCCCAGGCTTGTGTTCTTGTTTTCCTCCTAGCTTCAGATAATTTTCCTTTCTTGCAAGTGTATCCAACATTTAAAAGGGTATTCTAAATATTTCTTCTAGCAATTTTATATCTTTTGTTGCAGTAATATTTGGAGATGTATAGTCCTCAATATTGCCAGAAATAAAGTCCAAGTAAGAAGTTTATTTGTCTCATGCAACAAAACACCTACAGGTGTCCAAAGCTGGAACTGTAGCCTAAGGTCATATAGGACCTAGGTTCACTCAATCAGCCTTAGCATTTACTTGCCACTTCATAGGCACATGATGGCCGTTGAACTTACAAACTTCAGGACCACTTGCAGGCAGGAATAAAAGTGGCAAAACACTTAAAAAGTATACTCGGCCAGGCGTGGTGGCTCACACCTGTAATCCCAGCACTTTGGGAGGCAGAGGCAGGTGGATCACGAGGTCAAGAGATTGAGACCATCCTGGTCAACATGGTGAAACCCCGTCTCTACTAGAAATGCAAAAAATTAGCTGGGCATGGTGGCGCATGCCTGTAATCCCAGCTACTCAGGAGGCTGAGGCAGGAGAATTGCCTGAACCCAGGAGGCGGAGGTTGCGGTGAGCGGAGATCACTCCATTGCACTCCAGCCTGGGTAACAAGAGTGAAACTCCATCTCAAAAAAAAAAAAAAAGTATACTCAACTAGAAGTCCTCGTAGACTTTGTAAAAAATACTCTTCCAGAATTCCCACTCAACAACTTCTACTTGTTTATTATTGGCAAAAAGTTGGTCACCCCATCATGCATAGCCAAATTACTGGCTAATGAGAATGAGATTACCACGAATAACTTGGACCAGTTACGAGTCACCCATTCCACTGAGGTGAAAGTCTCCCTCCCAAGATCAAGGGATCACCTCTGCTACCTGAACAAAATGAGTGTTTACTTTTAGGGGGGCCAAAAGAGGGAGGAGAGTTACTAGAATATCCTACCCCATCTGTGGGAATTCTTGGAGGCCTTGGTTAAGAGCCTGTGCCACAGTTGGGTTAAAAAGGGGACTGGAGCATACATGCTTAAAGTGGAATCTTTGACAAGCTCTTCTGCACCCATTCCCATTTCTGTGCTTCTTTGTTTTCTTTCATTTTGTTTTCTAGAATTTTTTTTCCATAATTCTCTAGGAAAGCCCCAGACTCCTCTGTGAACACTCCTGTGTCCTAGAGCCCGACAATAAGCAACACAGGCATAACAGCTGGGAAACCAATCAGCTTAAACCAGGACAAACAATATCATACAGGCATCTCTGGCCCCGAGAGAACATCGACCCTTAATCCAGAAGGCACTATGACCAAACCTCTTCAGCTGTCTGGATATCGGGCATAAATAAGCTCTTCTACAAAGAGGGCATTTGGTCTGTAAACGGGACCAAACGTGAGTCTTACAGCTAAGGACCTATCTCTTCTACACTGACATGGTGGGGCAGAAAGGGGCGAGAAAGAGGTATGGAGGATTTGGGGAGGGAATTGGAGGCTAGAGAATTGGAGGCTAGAGAGATCATTTCTGTCCCACTACCTTTGTGATCCCAGTGCCCAGCACAATGCAGCCCACAGAAGGGCACTGGTCCTTTTATTGAACATTTACTGAGCATCTACTACATGCCAAACAGCGGGATGGGTGCTGTCGAGGCGGAAACGGATTTGGACATAATCTCCACTAGGCAAACAGAGGTCAAGGTTTTTGTTTGTTTGTTTAGAGAACAGACGGAGGTCAAGGTGTTTTTGTTTTTGTTGTTTGAGATAGAGTCTCGTTCTATGCCCAGGCTGGAGTGCACTGGGGCGATCTCGGCTCACTGCAACCTCTGCCTCCCGGGTTCAGGCAATTCGCCTGTCTCAGCTTTCCAAATAGCTGGGATGACACCTAATTTTTGTATGTTTTGTAGAGACAGGGTTTCACCATGTTGACCAGGATGGTCTCGAACTCCTAGCCTCAAGCGATCCTCCCGCCTCGGACTCCCACTGTGTTGGGATTACAGGCATGAGCCACCGCGCCAGGCCTATATCAAAGTTTCAACAGGGTTTAGAACTCGGTATCCGCTCCCCTATTTCCAACAGCGTAGTCAGTCCCCAAAATTGATTGACCCGCTCCAGACTGTACTGCGCAGGCTCCCGCTATCTCCGTGTTCTCCCAACTTTTGGCTCCAAATGTGAGTCCCGCATGCGCACTCCGTTTTCTCTCTGACGCACCCCCGGAAGCACTGTCAGTTTCGGGAGGGGCGGGGCAGGGAAGCGTTTCCGGGGGCAGAAGGCGCAGGCTGAATCTGTTGCGGCAGCGAAGGCTAGAACAGGCCTGCGCCGGCGGCTGAGAGAATTCCTGGGGCGGGGGATGTGAGTGCTGAGCCCTCAGCAGGTACAGCGGGGCCAGGACAATGGGCGGCAAGGGTCGGGGAGGAGAAGTCGGTGGGGGAGTTAAGGACTGCTCTGCAGGCCCCGACGCACGCGCGGCTTGCCCCGCCAGGCCCGTTCCGTGGACCGGCTTGCTAAAGCCCTGCTCGGGTGGTTGGCGTCCCGGCTCCCCAGCTCCGAAACCCGCGGTCCCCTGCCCACATGGCGCGCAGAGCGCGACACCAAGGCCCTTGGGGTAGCCTCTCGCCCAAGGTCACCCCCGCGGCGGCGGAGCTCGGCCGGCCACAGCGCTTAGAGATCCCGCCCCCGTCTGTCCGCCGGCCTTTCGGGGCGTAGGATGGGGGCGGCTTGGCGGCCTGGGGTTCGAGCCACCTGTGCGTGAGGCCTGACGAGCCGAGCTGGGAGAAAGACTGGCCTAGACTTTGCTGATCTTCTCTTTCACCCCCATTGCTGTCTCTGTCACCTGTTTTAACCTGCCCTTTTTGTCTTTCAACTAGGTCCCTGTCAACTTGATATTTGTCTCCACTTTGTCTTTCTCGGGGTATCTCTCTGTGTGTGTCTGGATACTGTTTTATATCTGACTCCACCTTGTCTCTGTGTCTATTCACTCTGTGTCTGCCACTCTGCCTTTACTCTAATTCAGGGCCTGTCAGTCTGGCTTTTTGGTCATCTGTCTGTCTCTTTCTGCCAACTCTGTTTTTTCTCTTGTTTCTCTTTCCTAACTGAGTTTGTCTGGGTGGGGCAGGACTGCCCAGACCTCTGAGCCATGACTCATGACCCCGTGAAGCTCCCTGCACTGGTGACACTGAGTGACTCCACCACAGTTTGGCCGCAATTCTGACAGGTGTCGCCCAACTTAAGTGTCAGAGTGCAGGAGCGTCTGTCAGGGAGACAGGAGGCCCCATCTCAGGGCCAGAGCAGCTTGAGTCCTCGCCTTTTCTCGCCTGTGGTTTTTCAGGCCTGCACACCTTCCCAAATCCCTTTGCTCCATCCCCTCACCACGGGATGGTCTCTGTGGATCTCTGGAGCCTGCTCGTGGAGTTACAGCTGTTTAACAGGCCTGTCTACAGGCTAAGGAAGGGCCAGGCCGAGATCTCCTTTGGGGCTGTTGGGACAGTAGCAGGGTTTCTGGGAGAGCTACATGCTTAGTTAAGAGATTGTTCAGTATTTTCAGTTAAATTATAAGAAACCTAATAATGGGGGCTTTATTCTTTGCTTTACAAAAGTACCACGGGAGAAATAAACCACACACAAAAGGACAAATATTGTTTGAGACCACTTAAATGAAGTACCGAGAATAGTCCAGCTAAGGGACAGAAAGTAAAACAGTTTACCAGGAGACTCGGAGTTATTGCTTAATGGATACAGAGTTTTTGGGGTTGATGAATAAGGTCTGGAAATGGGTTGTGATGATGGTTGCACAACATTGTGAATGTACTTCACTGAACTGGATTCTTAAAAATGCTTAAAATGCTGTAATCCCAGCACTTTGGGAGGCCGAGGCGGGTGGATCACGAGGTCAAGAGATCGAGACCATCCTGGTCATCATGGTGAAACCCCGTCTCTACTAAAAATACAAAAACATTAGCTGGGCATGGTGGCGCATGCCTGTAGTCCCAGCTACTCAGGAGGCTGAGGCAGAATTGCCTGAACCCAGGAGGCGGAGGTTGCGGTGAGCCGAGATCGCGCCATTGCACTCCAGCCTGGGTAACAAGAGCAAACCTCCGTCCAAAAAAAAAAAAAAAAAAAAAAAAAATGCTTAAAATGATTAAGTCTTAAAGTTTTATGTCTATTTTATACAGTACAAAATATTCATTGGAGATACCTGAAACCAATAAGCTCCTTTTAAATGTAATTTTTCTAAATTCATTCTGTAGCTGTTAGGAGCATTTAGTTGAACCTGTGTTTATTGATTCCTACTTGCTTTACAGCAGTGGGTACAGCTGAGATTCTTAGAAAAGTTTAGTTAAATGAATTTGATTAAAATCTTCCTCAGGCTTTCCACTTGGCTTTCTGCCCTGGCTCTCCTCCCTCCGCCTTTCTTGGAATCAGTGCAAGAATCTGCTCATAAGTAGGATACTTGATAATTATACTCTTCACAGGAAGAAAACTCATAAGGTTGAAAAATAGCCCTTTTATGATAGTGCAAAATTATGTGTTATTTCTTGAGTTTTCTTATAGGGGATGCCTTTGTGGTTTTTTCATTTTTAAAGTTGCCTATTTAAGCTATCTGTTTGCCTTTAAGGTAGTTTATCAAGCTTTCTAATAAGATATAGCAAATGAATTACTACTTTATTTTACTGAATCCTAGATGCTGTTGATTATTTTATGTACCCCCAAGGAAGAGAGAAACACTGCTAATTAAACTATGGCTTAATGTACTCTTATCATTTAGACTTTTTATTATTGAAAATACTTTTAGACATTAAAAAATGATATCAGTGCCTATTCTAATGCATATATACAAAGGAAAAATAAGAATAAATTGGTTAAAGTGTTCATTGAACTTAACATTCAAAGTTCTACTCTTCTGTACACTTTTCAGTTCAGAATTGTGTCCATGTTTTTTCCAGAGTGTCATCCTTTGTGCCATCAAGAACATTGATGAGGCCCTCGGCTGTTCTCTATCATTGTCTCAGGCAGTGACAGTATTAAAACTCCCACCTAGTGATCACATTCTGATTTCAGGAATTTTAAAATGTGAAAAAGTACATGTCTGAAAATTAATTGAATAGTATCATTTTCATGAACTTTCCTTTTTTTTTTTTTTTTTTCTTTGTTTTTGTTTTTTTCCGAGGTAGAGTCTCGCCCTGTTGCTCGAGCTGGAATTCAGTAGTGCATTCCCGGCTCACTGCAACCTTTGCCTCCAGGTTCAAGTGATCTCCTGCCTCAGCCTCTCTAGTAGCTGGGATTACAGGCATGTGCCACCATACCCAGCAAATTTTTGTATTTTTAGTAGAGACAGGGTTTCACCATGTTGTCCAGGCTGGTCTTGAACTCCACCTCGGCCTCCAAAAGTGCTGGGATTACAGGTGTGAGCCACCGAGTTTGGCCTGAACTTTTCCTTTTCACTGTGTTTATATTTGCAGTTAGAATAGGGGCTTTTGTCTTATTTGTAACATATTGAGGAAAAAAGATTTTTAAAAATTTGTCGATATGTTGTTAATGTCATGAAATGAGTGCTGTTTCTGCCTCCTGCTTTCTTGATTTCGACTTCTTATCCTAAATTCGAATGCACATGAGGGTACAGTTAAAAATATTTCCTTGGCATTATTGAACGTTGATAGAAGGATGATTGATAAATGGGGAGTTAGTTCCTAGAACATTACTTTCTCTTTTGAATCTCAGAGAGTTTGCTGTAATGGAATGTTTGTCCTGGAAGTTTTTAAGTAAAACATTCAGCCGTGGCTTAAAATTGAAGGGAGTCATGAATCAAACTTCATAAAGTAGGTGGCTTGTTTTTTTAAAAAAAATTTTAAAGTAGATTTTACTAAGTTATTTGACCAGAGTGCTCTAATTAGGAAAGAAGTATAAGAACACTGATTGACAATGGTCAGGAGATCAATAGCACTCTTCCAAAGGATATATTAACTCTGCAAAATTGCATAGTCATTGACCATGTTGGTTTTCTAGTTTTAATGAATATGCTGTAGTAATGGATGAAAGGTAGATGGAAATTATTTACTGTCTTTTCAGTTTTTTTAAAAATGTAAAATTATTACAAAATAAGTTTATTTTCTTTTAAATACAAAGGCAGGAGCTACGAAGTTTGCAGAATGGAATTTAATATAAACAAAAATGCCAGATTTGATTACCTTTCTTTCTGCCACTAATGTACACCTCTAGTGAGCACAGATATACATAGCCTCTCTTTTACATTTTCACTATTACTCTTCCTTTCAGAAGTCAATGTGATTTTAATTTGAAGCAAAACTGAAATGGGTTCTTCCTCATTCTATTCATATTGCTTTTTGATGGCCATCGCTTAAGGAACTTTACCCCAGGAATACAGCTTTGCATTAGGTAAGCTATAAACTTGCTCATAATACCATTTTTAAAATTACTTACTATAATCATTTCTCTTTTAGCAAAAATAATGTATTTTGTAAGATTTTTAATTACTCTAGACCAGAAGAGTCTTACTTCTCTTCTGAAAAGACATTACACATTCTAAGGCCAACCAATACCATACTTTGCACTGATAGGACATTTAATGTTAGAGAAATTTTTCTGCCAAGTGATTTTTTTTTTTTTTTAACTTAGAAAAGTGTTAGATTTGGAGTTATACTTCTGTTTGAATCCAGACATGCCATTTCTGATATGTGTAACCAATGGGCAGGTTTTTTAATTTAAGCTTCAGTTTACTCATCTTTTAGAAGGATGCAATGATATAGGAGTGTTGCACAACCCAGGTTTATGTAGTGTGCTTTGTGAACTGTAAAGCATTTCACTCATGTAACGAGTAGGAATAGAGTATTGGTATTTTTGTACATGTGTGCCAGGCTTTAAATTTACTGAAGCAACATTTACTATGTTTAAATGTGCTTTCTATAGTAAGCATGCAAATTACCATATGCTCTGATTAAAGAAGTCTCTGAAGGACTTCATGATAACTAGCTTTCCTATTATATTGCCATCATCTGTGTTTTTAGAATGTTTAATAGGTTTTAAATCACATATAAAATTTGACTTACAATTCCTCAGCTGAATAATAAATAGTGGCTGCTATTAAACTCATCAAAGTTGGAAGGAATATTGAAGGTCATCTAGTTCAGGAATTCTTCAGTATGTTGTCCTTCCTTTGCTTTAAAAAAGCCAAACAGCTTTTAAGAAGCATGGTGGAACAGGCTGGGGTTGGTATGTTTGCTTTAGAACTGTTGCTATTGGATTAAAAAAAAAAAAATGGGCAAATGAAAAAAAAACTGCTGGTATTTTTTTAAGTCTTTTTTTTTTTTTTTTTTTTTTTTTTGGAGTACAGTGGAAATATCTCTGCTCACTGCAACCTCTGCCTCCTGGGTTTAAGTGATTCTCCTGTCTTAGTGTCCCGAGTAGCTGGGACTACAGTTGCCCACCACCACGCCCAGCTAATTTTTGTATTTTTAGTAAAGACAGGATTTCACCATGTTGGTGAGGCTGGTCTTGAAATCCTGACCTTGTGGTCTGTCCGCTGTGGCCTCTCAAAAGTGCTAGGATAATAGGCATGAGCACCATGCCCTGCCCACATTATTACTCTTTTTTAAACTGCTTTATAGAGGCATAATTTGTAATTCAATAAAGAGGGTTTTTTTTTTAGTATATACACAGATTTGTGTACCCATCACTACAATCTAATTTTAGAACTTTTGTCTCCCCTAAAAAACCCAATTATTAGTTGCTCCCCATTTCTTCAACCCCTAGTTTCTATCAGCCTCGAATCTACTTTCTGTCTCTATGGGTTTGTCTGTTCTGGACATTTCATGTAAATGGAATCATGCAAGATACGGCCTTTTGTGTCCAACCTCTTTCATTTAGTGTAACATTTTCAAGGGCCAGCCATGTTGTCACATCTATCAGTATTTCATTCTTTTTTATTGCCAAATATCCTCTTCTAAGGATGTATCCCATTTCTTTATACAGTCAAAAGTTGACAGAGCTTATGATGGTTTTCACTTTTTGGCTTTTAAGAATAATGCAGTTACGAAAATTCATTTACAAGTTTTAGTGTGGACATCTTATGTTTTCATTTTTCTTGGGTATATACCTAGGAGTAGAATTGTTGGATTACATGGTAACTCTGTTTAACTTCCTGAAGTGCTGCCACACTGTTTTCCATAGTAGCGGTACCATTTTACGTGCTCACCAGCAAGGAGCATGGGGGGTTCTAATACACATCCTCACCAACACTTGTTATTGTCTGTCTTACCACAGCCATCTTAGTGAGTGAGAAGGGGTGTGTTATAGTTTTTATTTGCATTTTCCTAATTACTAGTGATGTTGAGAGGTTTTCATGTGCTTATTGGTTATTCGTATATCTTTGGAGAAGTGTCTCTTCAAATCCTTTATCTGTTTTTCAGTTGGGTTATTTATCTTTTTATTCTTGAGTCGTAAGAGTTCTTTAGGTATTCTGGATGCAAGTCACTCATTTGTTACATGATCTGCAAATAGTTTCTCCCATTCTGTGGGTTGTCTGTTCACTTTCTTGATGGTATCATTTTTACCTTGTACTACTGCTGTATCTTCTGCCTACCAGTTCTGTCAGTCTCATCAATTCCACCTCTTTTCCATACCCACTATTACTTTTTTTTTTTTCGATACATAGTTTTGCTCTTGTTGCCCACGCTAGAGTGCAGTGGCATGATCTCAGCTCACTGCAACCTCCACCTCCGGAGTTTAAGCAGTTCTCCTGCCTCAGCCTCCCAAGTAGCTAGGATTACAGGTTTATACTGCCACGCCCGGCTAATTTTGTATATTTAGTAGAGTCAGGGATTCACCATGTTGGCCAGGCTGGTCTCGAGCTTCTAACCTCAAGCGATCCACCTGCCTCGGCCTCCCAAAAGGCTGGGATTATAGGCGTGAGCCACTGTGCCTGGCCCCACTGTTACTTTTACTACTAGTATATACTATAGACTATACTTGTTGAAATCTTATAATTAGCTTCTACTGCAGACTTTCTTCTGCTTTAGTCCATCAACAGATCAACCTTCCTTAACCTTGCCCCACAGCATGTCACTTAGAAGTTTTCAGTGCTGCCCCAATGCAGACGTTCCATTGGGCTTTTTCCAAATTCATCTGCCATCACTCATTGTCACTTGTAGAAGGAAGCACAAGTAATGATGTGTCTGTCACCAGGGTTAGTCTTGAGTGGAAGAGAACCAAGGGAGATCTGAAATGGCTTTCTGATGGTAATTTCACCATAATCTAGGAATTTGCCTTTAGTATGATCAGACTAATAACCCAGTTTCTTCAATGTATCATACTTATGATGTACTACACCCACAAGAGATTAAAATATACAAACCAGAATGCCATGTGATTTATAATATTTCTACATTAATAAATGAGATTGGATTGTACTGAAAAGTACTGAAATTTTTTGCTGTCCAATTTTGATACCATAGTTTTGTATAAAATTCATGAATTTTCTCCTACCCTGTTCCCTTGTCCTCCTCTTCCCCATCTATTTTTAACATTTCTAGTTTTATCACATTGTGTAATCCATTGTATAGTCACATGTAATCAAATGTGCCCATGCATTTCTGCTTTGGGGAATTTATTGATCTCTGTAGCCACGTATATTATCATTTTTGTAAATGTCCTACAGACATTGGAAAAGAAGAAGTATTATTTGTAGAGTATAGAGGTATTTCATTAAACTGGCTTTATTAATGGTAGCTGTGTCAACCTGTAGATTCTTACCCTTTGCCTACTTGATTTATTAAGAATTTAAGAGGGATATTTATATTTCTTACTACAACTACATTTCTGTTACTGTTGCCTTATTTTCTAACATTGTACTCTGATGCATGAAAGTTCACAGAGTAAACTTTATTGTCAATTATAGAATTCATCAATTAACAATAAACTTTCATCCTATTTGATGATTTTTACATTGAAATTTACTTTGATGTTAGTACTGTGTTGCTTGACTTTTGTTTTCATGTGACTTTTTTTTTTTTTTTTTATACTTTTAACCTTTTTGGTGATAAAAATTCTTTTAACTTTTCTATGTCTGAAAAAGTGTTTTGCTTTCATTTTGAAAGATATTTTCATGGGTATAGAATTCTAAGTTGGCCTTTCCTTCCCACCCACTCACCCCCCCCTTAATTTCAGTACTTTAAAAACGTTGGTCTGCTGTCTCCTGGCTTGCATTGCTTCTGAGGTTCTCTATACACAAAGCTCTTTTTCCTCTGGCTGCTTTTCAGATTTTCTCCACTGATTTTAAGTGATTTGATTATGATGTGCCTTGCTGTAGTTTTTTTCATGTTTCTTGTGCTTGGAGTTTATTCATCTGCTTAGGTCTGTGATTTTGTAGTTTTCATCAAATTTGAAAAAGTTTTGACTATTGTTTTCACCTGTGTATAAAATATGTGTATGTGTGTGTATTGTTTTTACATATATATAGTTTTCAATGTATAAAACAATATATGTTGTTTTCACATGTCTCATAGCTTATCATGTAAAACTGTTTGCCTTCCCCACCACAATTACGTCTATATTAGGCACCTGGAAGTTGTCTCACAGCTCACTGATGCTCTATTCCCTTTTTGCCTTTTTTTCTTTGCTTTTTTCTCCCCCGCTATGTTTTATTTTGAGTAGGTTTTTGTTACCATGTTTTCAAGTTCACTAATGTTCTGCAATGTTAATTCTGTTGTTATTCTCATCTCAGTGTATGTTGTGTGTTTTTAAATCTCTATATGTTTCATTTGGGTGTCTCTTTTTTTTTTTTCAATAGTTTCCCTGTCTCTACCTAACATGCTTAATCTTTCCTCTGCTTTCTTGAAAATATAGAATACGGAATTGTCAACCAGTTGTATAAATCTCTTGTCATTTCTGGATCTGTTTCTGTTGATTGATTCCCACCCCCACCTCACTATCCTGGGTTATATTTTCCTAGTTCTTGGCATGCCTGGTGATTTTTAAATTTGATGTCAGATATGAGTTTTACCTTGTTCGGTGCTGGATATTTTTGTATTATGTAAATGTTCTCAAGTTTCATTCTGGAACATAATTAAGTTGGAAACAGTTTGATCCTTTTGAGGCTTGTTTTTAATCTTTGTTTGGCAGGACCAGAACTGCATTTTGCCTAGAATTAATTTGTCCCCACTACTGAGGTGAGGTTCTTATGAATACTCAAGGTTTTCCACTCAGGGCAGCTTTCTTCAATTAAATTTATTTTTTTTATTTCACATACTCTGATTTCTCTTAAGGACATTAACAGGCTGTACATGGATCTCTTCTCTGTTCTCCTGCTTTATCATCTTCTCTCTTGCTGTTTTCATGTTTTTGTCCTTTTCCTGTATTTTAGTAGAAGTTCCTTCTACTAA